CTGCAGGCTCTTAACTGCAGCCAGGTGGCTTGATGCACAGGGTCAGCTGACAGGCCAGGGGACGCGTTGGTGAGCGGCAGAGGGTGTGCCGCTGGTGAGTCCAGCTGCCGCTGCTTGCTGACGTCGATCCCAACAGGCTTTGCGTGACCTCAAAGCAAGCCGTGAAAAGGTGAACATGTCACTAGCTCGATGCCGCGTCACTGATGAGTGCCCACGTGACGGATTAGGTCCAGTGGAGATGTGCACTGAAGCCCACTGGTTTCCTAAACGATTTTCTCACCAAGCCTCAGAGCCATTCTGAATCCATCCGTGTTCGTTAGTGGTTAATTAATGGAGACAGATTCTAAAGAGGGGAATGGCCTTTGACCTAGACCCCGAAACCTCTGACACTGAAATTAGTGGTCTGAGAATATACCAATCATGACTTCATCCTGAATCCATCTGTTGAACACCAAGACAGCTGAGGAGGAGAGGCTGTCTTCAGGTAGAGCAATCCACTGTCACAGCAATACTGCTGGGCAGCCACTGAGTTATTTTAGGCTGCCATAGAAATTTTCATATTCTCACCCTGTGGCTATACTGGGCCTAGACTGCCTCGGTCAGATGCTGGCTCTGCCCTTAATTGGCTGTGTGGCCTTATGTAAGTCGTCTGACCTCTCTGTGCCTTCTTGATTTCCTCATCTGTAGAATGAGAACCACTTGTCTACTCTATATTTTTGTGAATATCCGAGTTACTAGATATCAATAGCTTTTCATTGCCTAACAAAGATGCCTGAGGTATCCATTTGTAAAGGGAAACCATTTGCTCTTGACTCATGGTTGTGGAGATTCCTGTCAAGGGGCCCTTTGCAGAGAGTCTGCAGTCAGCAGCACATCTGGATGTGACAGGGCGAAATGGCTCCCCTCGTTGCCGAGGAGATAAACAAGGACTCAGTTCCCACAATCCTCTTGAGTCCAGTAAACTACCAATTGCCCACTAAGTCTCTGCCTCCCAGCGGCTCCAGCTCCCAATAACACTGCAGTGGGCACTAAGCCTTAAATCCTGGGGTTTTGGGGGGAACTTAACCATGACAAACTCTGAGGGTAGCGTCTGATGTAACCAAGCAACATGTACCACACACATTCCAGCTTCTGAGACGACGGTTCTCACTAAAGCAGAAGCCCCAGCTGTCCCTTGCTAGCCATTTGTCCCTTGAAGGTTGAGCAATTTGTTAGTGGATCTCAGTTGTCAACCCCTCAAACGATGCCATGTTAACATCAAAGAGCTCTGGGCCTGCGACGACGTGCGTTTAAACACACGAGACTCTATAGATGTAACCAACCGTCTTATTAAATAAGAAACACAGAAACAATGCAAAAGAGAAAACCGAGAGGTCAGAGCTCAGAGCTAAAATCTCACCCTTCCGCCTGCGGTGTCCCAGCTTCCCGAATGAGCGCTTGCTTCCTGTCTGTTTGTCTATTTAAAATATTTTGTTCTGCCTTCTCATTGGTTGTAAACCCAAACACGTGACTGCCTCGTCACTGTCTGAATGTACAGCCCCCTAGGTCTTAAAGGCATATGTCTCCAATGTTGGCTGTAACCCTGAACACACAGAGATCTATGGGATTAAAGGCGTGTGCCACCACCGCCACACTCTTGCAATGGCTCTAATAGCTCTGACCCCCGGGCAACTTTATTTATTAACATACAATCAAAATCACATTTCAGTACAATTAGATTACCACCACAAGACTCCGTGTCACCATGCCGTCTCGGGGACCAGTCCTCACACGTTACGACACACTTCGCTGTGCTCGGTTGTTTCAACCACTGTTTGTTTGGGGTCTTGAGACATACCTAACCTGCTGGACAGTGGTCACTGGGGATGGAAAGATGAGCAAATGGAGTTGCCCAGAGCTCGCCATCTGACAGGAAACTTGCAAAGAGCAGAAAACCATGGGGAGAATCGGCAGGGCCACTGAGAGCCTCTCCAGGGCCCATGGGAGGAGGGAAAAGATGGGTTATATGATAGGAGGGTGGCATCTGGGGCTGGCTGCCCGGTCAGGAGTTTCCTAGTAGAGTTTGCTAGGGAAGCATCCAAGCATTTAGGAAATTGCAGAAGGATGCTATGATATGAAGGGTACCTCACCTTGAGGTAGGGACCAAGGTGGTCCCTGGCCTGGCAGGTCTAAAATACCCCTCAAGTGTTCTGAATTTGGATTACCCAGTGGGTTGCCGTAAGCCTCTGGGGGGCTTTAAAAGACAAACATGATTTTTAAACTTCTTGTATTTTAAGGGTATCATTTAAGTGTACAGAGAATAGAAGAGAGATGCGGAGCCAGCTGCAGCAATCATTCATAGCATCCGGAAATGGCAGCGGTCAGTTATCACTACCCACTCCATTGGTAGAACAAGTAAAGATTTAGGTCAACCACATTGCTGTTCTCTCTTTAGGAACAATAGAAATATCAAGCATTATCTCTTTTCTTTTTTAATTTATTTTTTGAGACAATGTCTCATGTAGCCCACACTAGCCTCTAGAGCCAAACGTATTTCTTATCCTCCTGCCTCTACCTCCTAGTGAGTATGCCACACCATGCCCAGCTTTGTGCAGTACCAAATATTGAACCCAGGGCTTTTTACATGCTGCTCAAGCGTTCCACAAACCGAGTTACAGCCACAGCCCAAGCACAGCCTTAGGCATGAAAGAATATCGGTGAAAATCAGCTCTACCAAAAAAGTTGAGGGGCTGGAGAAATGACCCGGAAGTTAAGAGCACTGGTTGTTCTTACAGAGGACCTGGGTTCAGTTCCTAGTACCCACATGGCAGCTCACAACCATCTGTGACTGCAGTTTGGGGGATGTGGTACCCTCTTCTGGTTTCTGCAGGTACTGCACATGTGGTATACATACACGCAGGCAAACTTGTATGCGTACAGAATAAACAAAGCTTTTTTTTTTTTTTTTTTTTTTTGGTTTTTCAAGACAGGGTTCCTCTGTGTAGCTTTGCGCCTTTCCTGGAACTCTGGAACTCGCTTTGTAGAACAGGCTGGCCTCAAACTCACAGAGATCCGCCTGCCTCTGCCTCCCGAGTGCTGGGATTAAAGGCATGCGCCACCACCGTCCGGCTAAGCTTTTTTTAAGGTTGAAATTAAACCAGAACGCATTGAGAAAAGCCTTTGGGATTAGAGATTTCAGCCCGCAGGTTGAGATGATGCAAGCCCTCGTGATTCACAGTCGGAGCTCTATTATATGAGAGACTCTCAGATGAGATACCATGCACTGTGCACACTGAGAAAGGAACTTGGTAAGGAAAAAGATGGTCCCACTGTGGTGGAGACAGTTGCTGATGTGGGTTCAGAGTGAATAGCATCATTAAATGAGAGGAAAACTTACAGGTAACGTTATTAGTTTCAACTCCACTTAATGAATCATATCATTGTGCAGATCAGATCACTAACAGGCAAAAACCTATTTTAAGCTTTGTATATAAAAAGGCACTTCTCAAAAGTTGGATTCCCCCACCCCTTAGCTAGACAGGTACATATAACATTTACGTAGAAGGGTAGGCGTGCAAGAGTGTGAAAAATTCTTAATTTTTTTTTCTTTTAAGTACTAATATATCTGTTATTTTTATTGCTCTGGTACTGAGTACTGAACTCAAGCCTTGCGTATGCTAGGTGGCCATCTTATCGTGAAGCCACGCCCTCGGCCCCTTTTTGTGCAATTTCTTTCTTCCTTTAAATTGCCTTACAGGTATCTGCAGTATTTTGAGTTATATTCCTGCACACACACCCCATTCCTCCTCCCCTCCCTTCCCCTCCCCCCTCCTGCCAATCCCCTCTGTCCCCGTGGGTAATTCCACTTCCACTTGTATTTAATATGCACCTACTGGACTTTACGTGACAGCAGAAGATTCAGGGTCACAAATGAGCGAGAACATAAAACGTTTGTCGTTCTGAGGCTGGCTGGGTCCGCTGAGTCGCATCACCCCCAGCTGTACCCCTGTGCCTGCAGACACCGTCACCTCACTCCTCCCTGTGCCTGAAAGGGAACTAACTCTGCTGTGTTTGTGTACCTTGTCCTCCTCGTCCTCCTCGTCCTCCTCGTCCTCCTCGTCCTCCTCGTCCTCCTCGTCCTCCTCGTCCATTTCTCTGTTGCCGGATGCTGCGCGGAACACTGCCGTGAAAACGTCTCTGTGAGGGGATGAGGTCTAGTGCCTGAGTCAGCTAGGACTTGGTCTCCTCTGGATAAACACACAGGAGTAGCGTAGCTGGGTCTGACGGTAGACCTACTTCAAAAGCAGTAGACAGTGGAAGGTAGATATACCAGATATTAAAATGTACTATAAGACTTCACTAATTAAACTAATACACTAGTCTATTTGGGTAGACAAATAGAACAATAAAAAATTAATAAAACAAACTAGGAGCAGATATAAATACATACTAACAAACTAATATATAATAACTTTATATTAATTAATTTTATTATTTATTTTATTATAATGATATAATATGACATGTTTATTATTAATAGCACAATAAACTAAGCAGATACAAACAAAATCTCTCCCACACTGCCTTAAGACACAGGAGCTATTTTCTCTATGTCTAGGTTGTACCACGGTGTGTAGTCCATGCTGGTCTCAGTAGGCATTAGAGAATAATCAGATAGAAAAATCAAAACAATAACAGTATTGTAAAGGACATCATCTGTCATGGGAACAACATCCGAGTCTTCTGTGAATGCTACGCAGTTCTGTCGGTTGCTTGGCAGTCTCTTGAGTTTCCGTTTTGTCAAAGAGGACTTGCCCTGGTATTCCTGTCTCACCATCACGGTCATAACCCTTGTGGATTATTTGTCTGGTGAACACCAGAAGGCGGATGGTCCAGGAGTCCCTGGTGATGGCATGTGCCTGCCGCCCAACTGTTCCAGCCTTTCCCGAGCTCTTGAGGGAATACCTTCCTGCATGGACCACCACTCAGGAAGTAATATTCCATTTTGGATTCTGTTACAGAACAAAGACCCCAAAATGGCTCGAGTTGCCTTGGAATCTCTCTACAGATTACTCTGGGTTTACATGATTCGAATCAAATGTGAAAGCAACACCGCAACTCAGAGGTAAGGGCAGGCGCGTGCTCTGGCGGGCGGGTGCCTGGAGTCCGTGTGCTCTGGCGGGCGGGTGCCTGGAGTCCGTCCGCTCGGAACCACATTGCTGGCCTCTACACAGGGTGTGTTCCTGGAGTGTTACCCACCCGGGCCCAGCTAAAACACGCTCAGAGCTGACGGTTTCTGCAGGCGCAAGGCCTCAGAACTTCCCCTCTGCCTCTGACGCCTTCACCAAAGCATTAGCCTCCACCAGGACTGACAGGGTCTGCTTCTGGACAGCATTTGGCGCTGTGAGGAGGGAAACCGCTGTCTTTTCCAACTGCCCTGGGTTTTTTAAAAAGAAAAAAAAAAAAAAAAAAAGAATGTCTTCATAGAGTAATTAAGCTAATGGAAAGGCTTTGGCTTTTTTGTGTTTTGTTTTGTTTTGTTTTTAATCCTCTGATACGATGAAATGTGCGCCATCTCCCTGGCAGCTAGATCTCAGCCAATCTCGCTTGTTTTCTCTTTTTCCTGCCCTTATCTTCCAGCCGACTCATAACCATCACCACCACGCTTTTCCCCAAAGGGTCCCGCGGCGTGGTGCCCAGGGATATGCCTCTGAATATCTTTGTGAAGATTATCCAGTTCATTGCCCAGGTAATGCACACATTTCTGCCAGTCTTCTTCAGGTGAAGTAATGAATAAAAGGGGCCACAGTAATCCTCAATGTGTCCAGACTTCTTAGAAAGGGGCTGTTTTCCCACACAGCTCGCTCGTTTGCTTCCAGACAGTCAGATGAATACATCAAGTGCCTTCAGCGTCTAAGAAAGAACCCGAGAGGTGGAGTTGAAGGGATTCATCTGAGGTCACAGAGCCCACCAGTAAAACGGCCATAGCACAGATAAGATCCCGGGTCAGTCTCAACGCTGGCAGAAAAGAGAACACTTTGGTGACAGAGACTCTTGGCTATCTATCCCTTCCCACTTTCCCCAGGTCTCTGCTCTGTATTCTCCAAGTCAAAAGGAGGCAAAAGGTCTGGTATTTGGCAGAAACTTAATTTTTAAAGAAAGGCAATCTAGTGAAATTGAAGAGTAAATAGTAATTTTCTAATTTTTCTCTGTGTGGAGAAAATAATTTCATGGGGAGATTAGCATTTATCAATTTTGCTCAAAACCATTGTAGCCACTTTACACATGAATTAATTTACTTTAAAAAGAGATTCCAGTAACACTGAAGCTAGTTTGGCTGTAACTTACTATTCAAATATAAGATTTCTCCTTGGGGAAGGGGTTGGTGGGACTGAACCCAAGACCCCACTCATGCTAATTGTACACCCTACTACTGAATTGCACCCCAAGTCCACTGTTGCATTTATTTATTTTTGAAACAGTGTCTTATTTTTTAACCCTGACTGGCCTATGACTAATTCTGTAGACCAGGCTGACCTCAAATTCACAGTCCCCCTGTACCTGCCTCCCACATGCTGGGCTTAAGGGCATGTACCCCCACACCCAGCTGCCCTTTTCTTTTGGAAATACTTGGTGAGTACATTCTTTGACCCCCATTTTGACCTCTGTGACTTACAGAGGCACTGGGAGTCTCCTGTCCTAACCCGGGCTTTGTCACCAGCCAACCTGCCACCTCAAACTAAAGAACATCTTCCATCTGTAAAGCGAGGGTAGAAATTCATGCCCAGCGTGCCACAGAACACTATATGCTGGAAGGAAATTACAGGTTTGCAGATGTTGCTGAAGTGCGGTTGAGATTAATATAAAGGTGTAAGATTTGGTGCACACTGTTTGATACGTAGCATCTCTATATATATTGGGCCCATGAGAGGTTTCTTTCATATGAATCCTTGGAGAAAGAAAGTGCATTGCTACCCCTGCAGATGAAAAATTTCATATGAATTTTCTAAATGTAGTCACAAGGTATATGCGTTTTGACTACCCTGGAATACTGTATATAAAACGAGCATGTCGTGTCTTAGTAGTTTCTAACTTGTATGACCAGGCTCCACCTTAAATGGTATGTCTTATGTCTTAATTCTCCCCACCCCACCCCACCCCACCCCGCCCGCACTCATTTTTATATATGAGCCAGAGGATGTTTTCAAAGTTAAAGAGCAGAGGGAAACAGTCTCTGTGTAGCAGCGACATCATTACAAATGTATTTCTCGGCTGAGTATCAAAAAGTTATCAACATTTGCAGTACAAGTGGGAAGAATGGAGGCCGTCTTTTTTAGGTCCAGTCGCCCAGGTGTTGTGGTTTTTTGGTATCTGGTTCTGTGTCTCCAGCCTCGGCCACTGAGCTGATGCTGTGTACCACATAAGGAATGCGACTCCTCGGCTCCTCAGGCAGTTCTGGTGCATCTGGTCTTCCTTCAGGGGCTCTCCATGACCCATAAGGCCAGGCACCACCCCAGTCCTCCAGCAGCCAGCTTTTGCTTGCATTTTGTGTTAAACTCGGCATTCCATGTTTTATTTTGTTTATTTTCTACCCTCCCCCCCCCCCCATCCACTCCAGGAGCGTCTGGACTTTGCAATGAAGGAAATCATTTTTGACTTTCTTTGCGTGGGAAAACCAGCCAAGGCTTTCAGCCTCAACCCAGAGGTATGAACGACTCCTCTATGCGAACAGAACACTTATTCACAGTGCCCATCCCTTTGCTCTGAAAGTCTGGGGGCCTGGAGTCGGGGGGAGGGGCAGTACCTCTCAAGGGTCTTAAGATACAGGAGCTGTTTTCTCTATGTCCCAATTTGGGCGTCGGTTTCTTCAGGAGTAAAAATTGAGGTGAACCGATTCAGGACGACCCATTGGCCATGCGCTGTGGTCTTCGGTTTTCAATGGAATCATTCTTGCCTTGAAGAACGTGAAGACAAAGATTGGCAAGTTTAGAGTCGGGACGCCAGGAGTAAACGCAGAGAGGGCTGAGATTACTACAACACAATGAACTTAGATAACCAGCAAACAAATGCGCTTCCTGACAATATCCCAGCTCCAGGGCCAGGCACCTCATGGAAATGAGTCCCCGGTAGGGGTTCCATTCGTGTGGGGCTCTTGGCTCTGCAAATGAATGGCAGTTCAGTCTTAAACTTTTAAAAACACTAGCAGCCAACAGACACATGCCGGCCAAGCTGCCTCTTTGCAGCTCTTTTTCTACATGATTATGGAAAGAGCACTGGACCAAAAGCCAGAAAGCTGGTTTTTGCCACTTGTCACGGGCTCAGCTACTTTTCTAGTGTGACGTTTACTTCTGCCTCTTGGCTTTTATTCTAGGAAAATGGACAAAGTGTGTTTCTAGCTCCCTTCACAGGAGAGTGATACTAGCTAGCACTAGCGTATTGCAAACTGAAAAGGACATGAAGGAGAGAAAGAGAAAGAAATCGAGGCAGGGGAAAGAAATCCCGTACCATGGAGCACAATGCATGCTTCTCTCTGTCATCACTGAGATGTCCTGGCTCCTTCATCCGGTTGTTAAGGAAAGAGGTCCAGAGTCCAGGGGCACGGCATAGCTCTTTAGCTGCCCCACAGCCCTTGCCCCTTCCCACCATACCCTGAATCCTCTCAGTTGCCACATTTCTGCCAACAGAACAAGAAACTAATGTGTGGGAGTTTCTGTGCTGTGGTTGATGGTCTCTGCTGTTACAGTCAGCAGGTCAGGAGGAAGCCAAAGCCAGGGGCCGGATCGAGGCCCAGAGCTGGATGGTAACAGACTTCTCGTGTGGACAACATTTCCAACATCTTTTTCCTTTTCTCAATAGTCCTAAATCTACTATTTGAACAATTCTCAGAATTCCTGGGTTGCTTGTCCTAGTCAGGGTTTCTATTGCCGCCATGAAGCACCGAGACCAAAAGCAAGTTGGGGAGGAAAGGGTTTATTTGGCTCACACTTCCACATCATAGTCCCTCGCTGAGGGAAGTCAGGACAGGAACTCAAGCAGGGCAGGGGCTGGAGGCAGGAGCTGATGCAGAGGCCATGGAGGGGCTCTGCTTACCGGCTTGCTCCTCATGGCTTGCTAAGCCTGTACTCTGATAGAACCCAGGACCACCAGCCCAGGGATGGCCCCATCTACTATGGGCGGGGCCCTCCCCCATCAATCACTAATGAAGAAAATGCCTACAGGCAGATCTCATGAAGCATTTTGTCAATCGAGGCTCCCTCTTCTCCAGTGACTTGTGTTAAGCTGACAGAAAACCAGCCAGCACACTTCTCTAACATGAATATCCCTCATGTTACCTCCATGCTGGCACGGTAACACTCACTGTCATCTCAGTCCTTGGCCTGCATAGCAAGACCCTGTCCCAGACAAGCAAAGGACCATTGTTCTCACCACCGTGGGTCTGTCTACAAACTCTTCATCCAGTCAATGGCTTGTCGGCTGACCTGTCTGTGAAGAGCAACTGGGAATACGGTTTAAATGGAGAATCCAGCAGGAAAACAGATTTGAGTCTTCTATGTCTCTTTATTTTTATTACACTTTATCTATGGTGGCTTATGTATTATGTGTGTGTGGTGTGTGCATGCTTGTGTCGTGGTGTGAACATGGAGGTCAAACAGCAGCTTGGGGCATTCAGGTCTCGCCTTCCACCTTGAGGGTTACAAAGCTCAAACTTAAATTGCCAGGTTTAGCAGTAAGCACCTGTCTTAGTCAGGGTTTCTGTTGCTGTGAACAGACGCCGTGACCACAGCCACCCTTACAAAGGAAAACATTTCACTGAGGTGGCGGCTTACAGTGTCAGAGGTTCAGTCCATTATCATCATGATGGGGAGCCTGGCGGCAAGCAGGCAGGCACAGTCCTGGGTAGGTCTTAAACGGAAGGCAACAGGAAGTGAACTATGTGTCATACTGAGCGAAGCTTGAACCAACGAGACCTCAAAGCCCGCCCCCACAGTGACACGCTTCCTCCAACAAGGCCACACCCACTTCAACAAGGCCACACCCACTCCAACAAGGCCACGCCTCTCAATAGTGCCACTTCCTTTGGGGACCACTTTCTCTCAAACCACCACAGTGCCTTTGCCCACTGGGTCCACCTTGGCAGCTCTCCTCCACGTCTCTTCCTCCTGCAGGGGCACAGAAGACTCTGCCTCTTGCTACTTGACAGTTACGAGCCAACAGGGCACACATGACTGGCACATCAGCGTGTCTCCAGGGAAGGACCTGCCTGGGACAGTGAGGTCATGAAGAAAAGACAAACACAGAGGAATGCCGGACCGAAGGCTGGGACTTGGGTGGCCCAGGCTCTTGACTAAAGAAGCTGCAGCCCTCTGGAAGCTCAGTGTGTTTATTATATAGAGTTGAACGCAGCTGGACACCGGAGACAGGGTTATTGCTTCTAGATAAACATGGAGGTAGCTGGATCAAGGGGAGAGGTTTAGCTGCTCTCAGTAGGAGCAGCCTCTGTAGGGGAGCAGTCTTCAGGCCGTAAACATGTAATGGGGAGAAAACTAGAGTAGACATACATGTTCTGCACACGCCGTCAGTACTCCCTCAGCCAGGGGAGGAAGTCCTTCCCATTTCCCTCTGATCCACACCCCAGCGGGGGAAGGCTTTGGCATTCCTCTATGGGTCTGAGGCTCTGGGGTCTTCCACCCGGCCGGCTCATATCAACACACACGTTCCCCCAGGATTTCACTCACTCAGGCTTCCTCTGCACCCTATACCAGACCCCCTTCAGACACGGGCACTCTGCGGTCGGTGAACAGAACTTACGCAGGGGATGAAATGCTGCTGCCTGGCACAGATTCTCAGAGAACAAAACCAGATTGCCCATCATTGATGGGCAAACATTGTAGAAAATTGCAAAGAAGCCGTGTACGTCAGGACACACCGATAATCCCCCAGCATTTGGGAGCTGGAAGCATGAAGATCAGGAGTCTACACAGGGAGCTACATAGAGAGTTCAAGGCTAGCCCGGGCAACATGAGACCCTGTAACAAGAAAAACAATGGCAGCACAAATAAAGATGTCACTTATTTTAAAAAAATAAGGAAAATATCAAGTGATTTGGAGCGGCTGCATGACCTTAGGAAGTTTGCAGGATACAAAATAAATAAGTGATGTATTTGTATATTCTAGTAATGAACAATCAAACAATTTACACTATTGGTGAAAAACGCAGTAGCCGACACTAAAGCACATGGAAGGTGCACACTACTGTATGCTTTTTTATTCCCAAAACTAAAAAAATACTGAAGAATGCAAAGCTCCCAATAGGTAGAGCTAAGTTCTCTTTCTAGCAAATCAAAAAATTTGCCATTGTTGAGTTCTGTTACCCCTCAAATTGACTGAAATGTGTTAAATTATCATCTTAATAATATTTGCCTTATATTCCCTACAGCTTCTTTTAAAATAGAAATCAACGAGCTGGTTTTAAATTTGGTATGGAACATCAGACTGTTAAAATAACTAACATAGTTCAGAAGTAAAAGAATAAAGTTGGACTAGCATAGCCTGATTTTAAGACTTAGAATAAAACTGTACGGTCACCAAATGAGTATAAAGATGGGGGTCGATATAAAGAGGGTCCAATGAGGATGGGGAACCTAGAGAGAGACCCACACATGGATGGTTGCTCATTTCCAACTATAGGAATATATTCAGAGAGTGAACGTCTTTCCACTAAGTGGTTCTGAGCAACTGGGTACCTACCTTGCAAAATGACAAATTCCAGTCCAGTGTTCACTGTAAGCAAAAACAAGCTCAAACTGGATTGTGCAACCTAAATATAAACCCAACAGTGTAAGTCTTCCAGGGGAAAAAAAAAGAAAACCTTTGTGGTCCTTGAATGGACAAAGCTTTCTAGAATACAGAAATCATAAATCACAGGAAGTTAATAAATTGAGTTTGTGTTTTAAAGTTTGCATGTTGATAAGGCATTTAGTAGAGAGTCAAAGCGTGGGATAAAATATTTTCACATCCCCAACAAAGTACTTCTTTCCAGAATATATAAAGAACTCTTGTAATAGATAATAAGAAAATAAACAACATACTTTTAAAGTGAGCAAATACGCTCTTCATCAAAGAAGAAATCAAAGTAACCAGTAACCCTGTGAAAAAACGGTCACTGTAGGTGGTCACTAGGGAAATGTCAGGTAAAATGATGACTAGATGTACTGGGGTGGGATCTAGAGCAGCGAGACCTTTATACTATGCCACTGAGAATGTGATAGAGAGCAGGGGCTGAGTCCTCCCTTGAGTCAGCTTTGGGGTTTAGCTGGACTTTAGAAACGGCATTTCTTCTCACATACCCGTGTGTTTTCATAGCTTTGATATCCTTCAGACTTGCTGGCCTTTATAATCAGAGATCAATAATAGATGTTGGCTGGGTGTGTGTGTGTGTGTGTGTGTGTGTGTGTGTGTGTGTCTGTCTGTCTGTCTGTCTGTCTGCGCACGCCTTTAATCCCAGCGCTTGGGAGTCAGAAGCAGGTGGGTCTCTGGGATTTGAGGCCAGTCTGACCTACATAATGAATTCCATTTGTCTCAAACTAAATAAATAATCAGAGATAATTTTATTTTGTGATTCATATTTGGAACTCAATATCTTCACACTGTCTTTGAATGAAAACTTATGGTGTTCCTTTCTGTGAAGCATTTGAATGTGTTTCCTGACTCAGTTTACCTTGTCTGCAGCTGCCCACAGGATGAGTACCCATCCCTTTGATGTCCCCCTCCACACACATGCATTCCTTTAACAGATGTGTGTCCATTTCAAACATGCACTCCGAATTTGGTGACCATCTTCCTGGCTGCTTCCTCTCGATAATAACCTGTCGGGTTATTCTAGCTAACGGGTCTTTCCTTGCGTCTCTTACAGAGAATGAACATCGGTTTGCGGGCGTTCTTGGTGATTGCTGACAGCTTACAACAGAAGGATGGTGAGCCGCCCATGCCGGTCACAGGAGCTGTGCTCCCGTCCGGAAACACCCTGAGAGTAAAGAAAACGTATTTGAGTAAGACGCTGACTGAGGAGGAAGCCAAAATGATAGGTGGGTATGAGCCCTGAAAATCATTGTCAGGCCCTTGCTGGAAGTGAGGGGAACTCAGGGGAAAAAAAAAAAAAAAAAAAAAAAAGCACCAAATCATTGCCAAGTAGCTGGTGAGACATTCCTGCACTGTTGTGTTGTCGGATGCCTGCTGGGTTCCCACCCTGGAGCCATTTAAACTCTTTAGGTCTTCCTGGTAAATATTTTGCCATTTAAAATATTGCCTTTCATCTGGGTCCATGTAAACATCTAATATTGGTTATTGGTTACCTACCTTGTACAGTAAGTTTCCAAGATATCTGTGTGTTTGAGCAAATAATCTTATTTATAATTTGTTCATTAGTTCATTTTTGAAAGAAAATTTCTTCCTTTCTTTTTTCTTTCTCCTTTTTTTTTTTTTAAGTAACAATGATCTAATTTGTATATTTGTATTGTAAGCATGCCAGTTCCCACAAACACCTCAGGAGAATTTTTTTTTCTCTATCTCTGATATTATCTTCCTGAATCCAAAGAGATTTTTTTGCCCTTGTTTCTTCCCTTTTAAGTACTCAGATTTAGAAACTATTCTAAACTGTGCTAAATAGTTCCTAAATTCCAAAGATGTGAGAGAAACACATGCAGAACTCTTCACTGTGACGTCAGTTTGTTATGTTCAATGAGTTCAAAAGACTTCATGCGTGAGAAATGGCTATTGGTACTTATTTGGTTAAAGTATGATGTCGTTTTTTGTTTGGCGTGTGTGTGTGTGTGTGTGTGTGTGTGTGTGTGTGTGTGTGTGTGTGTTGTCTTCTAACTATATCACATTCAATAGGAGCAATACATTTCCCTCCTTGGAAAGTTTATAAGCGAAGTCAGTTTTTTTATTTTACTGTAGAATCTGCACATGCATCTCAGAGGACAACATACAATTATTAAACTCTTAACCCCAAGGGAGAATTATCACTTATTCATGTATTCACTAATGCTGGTGGGTTTTCTTGTTAATCAGAAGCTTGAAAATTCAAAAGCAAAATTACTTTAACTTTTGTAGAAAATATTTCTTGTTGAAATATTGGAATTAGGGAGGCTGGAGAGTTGCCTCAGGGGTTAAGAGCACTGGCTGCTCTTACAGAGCATGCAGGGTAGATTCCCAGCACCCACGTGGCAGCTCACAACTATCTGTAACTGTAGTCCATAGGACCCAATGCCCTCTTCTGGCCTCCACGGGTACTGCACACATATGCTACACATACATGCAGACAAAGCATTCCCATAAATAAACCATTTAAAAAGTATTACAACTCTTACTAAGTGCATTGAAAAATTATTTAATGAACACCTGCAAAGTGAATGCCAGTGCAGTTGGAGCCAGGCAGACAGAAAGGGCCTCACTCTCAGCCCTTCTGCTCAAGGAGCTAGCTCCCAGGTGCAGAGGACCCTTCTCAAAGAGCCATGCTGTAGCGCTTGGGTGGACCAGGGTATTCTTTGATATATTTAGTTAAAAGTGTGACTAACACATGTTTTTCAGGAATGTCCTTGTATTACTCCCAAGTCCGCAAGGCCGTAGGCAACATCCTAAGGCACCTTGATAAAGAAGTGGGACGATGTATGATGCTCACCAATGTCCAGATGCTGAACAAAGAGCCGGAAGACATGATCACGTGAGTACCGCCAGGGAGGCTCGAAGAACCGGGGATCCAACTGGACATTCTTCTCTTCTCCTTGACTCAGGTTCTAGGTTGTAAAACATACGTATTGATGACATTTGCCTGAAAGCCAGTTCAAAGCTGAGGTTGGCCTCTTTTGCTTATATCCTGAGTACCATTAAGCCGGCAAATTAGAAAATGGCGCTCACAGCTCATTACCAACCCATAAAAGGGCATTTTGTGGGTTTGTTTAAGACAGGGTTCTCTGTGTAGCCCTGGCTGGCTTGGAATTTACTATGTAGACCAGGCTGGCTTCAAACGGACATTCTCCTGCCTCTGCCTCCTGAGTGCTGGGATTAAAGGCGTGTGCCACCACCACCACCACCACCACCACCACCACCACCACCACCACCACCACCACCCCACCCCCCGCCTCTTCCTTCCTTTTTTTAAGGAGAAACTTCAGGGAACACACAAACATTTAGGAGAAGAGAATAGTGGGAAGATCATCTGGCCTGAGGGAGCGTTGGAGGCTGACCCACCACTCTCCACAGCCCTGAGTAGGGTGTTCACCAGATCATGGGACCCTGAGCTGGGCGTTCACTGGAACATGGGACCCTGAGCAGGTGTTCACTGGATCATGGGACCCTGAGCAGGTGTTCACTGGATCATGGGACCCTGAGCAGGTGTTCACTGGATCATGGCACACAGTGTTTTCTTAATCCCCATTCCTCACTTCTTTTGTGTCACATTAAAAAAATAAATAAAAATAAAAAACTTGGCAATGGTGGCACATACTTTTAATCCAAGCACTTAGGGCCAGAGGCAGGTGGATCTCTGTGAGTTTGAGGCTGGTCTACACAGTGAGTTCCAGGACAGCTAGGGCTACACAGAGAAACTCTGTCTCAAAAAACCAAAATAAATAAGATAACTAGTAATAAATTTTAAGATCTGCTAATAAATTCCTTTAAAAAAAAAATACATCCCTTTTGGGGATGTTTAAATGCTCTTCATAAAATCCCATAGACCAGGATTGGGGATTTAGCTCAGTGGTAGAGCAAGGCCCTGGGTTCTGTCCTCAGCTATGGGAAAAAAAAAAAAAAAGAAAGAAAGAAAGAAAAGAAAAAATCCCATAGACCAAAGCCCATGTTAATAAAAAAGAAGCCTGCTGGGCAATTGTGGTACATGCCTTTAATCCCAGCACTTGGGAGGCAGAGCCAGGTGGATCTCTGTGAGTTCGAGGCCAGCCTGGTCTACAGAGTGAGATCTAGGACAGGTTCCAAAGCTACAGAGAAACCCTGTTTGGAAAAACAAAAAATAAAAATAAAATAAATAAAATAAAAATTAAAAAATAAAGTAAAAGAAGCCATGCATCCATTTAGTTTCTAATCTGGGCTTGCTTTCTCAGTTGAAAAAGGATGTCAGAGTTCCCCCTTAGACTTTAGGCTAGGCGGGGTCATCTGTCTTCTGACAGGTAAGAAAAAGATGGCAGCTGTTGAAGACATCTGGTAGGCAAGCTAGGGTACTGCACAGACACCTGACTGCCAAGGTGCGGAGGGAGCGAGGAGCCATGTCAGGGCTGCAACTGCAGCTACCATGGTGTCACGTGACAGCATCTCTGTTGGAGGCCACCATGCACCCTCCTCCTCTCTCCTGTCTTCACGCGGCTCTTACTGAAGGTCCACAGAAAAGGAGAGGAAGTTAGCCATGGCGGCCCACCCGGGTGTTTGCTCTTCCTTCTGTGGAGATATCCAAGGGCTCGGCTTGACTCTATTCTTTGGTATTTTCTTCATAGTGCTAGGCTGGCACCCAGGACCTTACACGTGCCTGGCGAGGTTGCTGGTCACTGGGATGTAGCCCAGCCCTACATTCATTTCTTTTCATTTCTATTTATCGTGTGTGTGTGTGTGTGTGTGTGTGTGTGTGTGTGTGTGTGTGTGTGTGTGTGTGTCTGAGGGAGACAGGGAGAGAGAGAGAGGAGACTTTTTTTGTGATTCAGGTATTGAAAAGCAATCCGTGGGGACTAGCCGTCATGAAATCCTACTGAATGGCCATCTTGTGATTAAGTGCTCTGGATGCCTGTGCTTTCAGAGATCTGGACCTTGGAACTACATCGAGACATTTTTTTGTTTTGTTTTGCTATTTTTTAATTAGATTTATTCATTTTATTTTGTGCGTGAGTGTTTTGCCTGCATGTGCCGGTGTGCACCTTATACGTGCTTGGCACCTGCAGATATCAGAAGAGGGCATCAGGTCCCCTGGAACTGGAGTTACAGATGGTTGTGAGCCACCATGCGGGTGCTGGGAATCGAACCTGGATCCTCCGCAAGGACAGCCGGTGCTCCAAACAGCTGAGTCATCTCTCCAGCCCCACATCTAGACTTTTACAAGCTCACAGGCCTAATGAAGCTGGGAGGGATAAACATTTGACAGTGACATGGGACCAGCACCAGGCTGTACTTGAAAACTCTGCATTAGGCACTGGTTTTTGTTCACATACTTAGTCATGTTTGTATCGTTTTTTTAATTTTCGTAATCTTTAGGCTTGTTTCAATTTTGTCTTCAAATTCTAGGGGTGAAAGAAAGCCAAAAATCGATCTCTTCAGGACCTGCGTCGCTGCGATTCCTCGGCTGCTGCCCGATGGGATGTCCAAACTTGAACTTATTGACTTGCTGGCCAGGTGGGTGAGAGCAGTCTTGGGTGTCCGTCAGTCAAACTTGATTATAATCTTTTGTCACCATTCAAACAATAGAACAGAATGATTACTTTCAATTGATGCAGATTTCCTTCATAAGGTATTGTCCTAGGTCTTATGTGTGAACATGCATAAAGAACTTAGTTGTTCTTCGTGTTTTCATAATGGGGCTTGAACCTAGGGACCACTCACGCTAGGTACATTCTCTGCTACTGAGATACATCCCCGACCCTCTCTTTAACTCTAATTTGAGACAGGGTGTCACGCAGTCACCAGGCTAGTCTTAAATTACAGCCTTCCTGCCTCCACTTCCTGAGTAACGGGGACTGCAGGTGTGGACCGTAGACCTGGCTTCTAAGTCTTTGAGATATCTGTTGCTTTTTTCTATGCTCAAGGGGTTTGAAATGGCTAACATCCCGATGGGTCTGCACAAATGAGTGGCAGCAGGGTAGACCCTTGAGCTCAGTGGGCGAGGAGTCAACTGTGGACCGAGGAAGTCAGAGAATGAAAGGCCAACTTGAAAGACATTAGAGAAAGATCAGTTCAGAAAGATAGAGAGAAGGGCGTGACCTCGCTGTGAAAGTTCATCTGGGGTCTGACCCTCAGTTCGAGGTCCCTAGACTCTCTGATGAGGCCAACAGAGATAGTGATCCTAAATCTAACATAGTTATCCTGAAAGCTACCCAAAATCACATTTATCATTCTCCCCATCCTCCACCTGACTGCACAGCCCAACTATAACTTAAAAACTGCACTGAGTGACAGCATCTCGTAGTTTGGGATACTTCCTCATCTCCTATGACCTGTAACTCCAGTTGACAACACGTGTCTTTTATTTAAAATAAAAAAAAAAAAAAATCAACAAAGGAGGCAAAACCATTGTCACTAGGATGCGGGGAGTGAGAAGGAGAATAAGAGTCATCATTGGACTGGGGAAATGGAGAAAAAAAGGTAGGACCGCCAATAATGAAAGGACATAGACACACGCCTGGAGAGAGGGAATTTTAGCAGCAGGGGACGCCATTGATACGCCATGTAGGGGCTAGTGAGACGGCCCGGAGGGTGAAGGTGCTTGACAACCCAATTCAGTCCTGAGGGTCTACACGGTATAAGGAGAGAACAGACTCCTAACCGCTCTCCTCCGACCTCCAGGCACATGCCATATCATATATGTGCCCACACATGCATGCACATACAATAAATGTAATCTTAAAAATTATTCTCTTGGGATTGGAAATGTAAGCCCTGTGGTTAAGAGTACTGACTATATACTCTTGCAGAGGACTCAGGTTCAGTTCCCAGCACCCACCTGGCATCTCACAGCCCTCTGTAGCTCCAGTTCCAGGGGATCGGAGGCCCTTATCTGAACTCTCCAGGCACCCACGTGGTACCCAACCGTACATGTAGGCAAAACATCCGTACGCTTGCAATCATGCGGGTGCTCTGAATCAAACCCAGATCCTCTGGAAGAGCAGCCAGTACTTTATCCATTGAGCTACCTCCCCAGACTCCTATAAATGTAAATATTTATTTATTTATTTATTTATTTATTATTTTATTTTATTTTATTTTATTTTATTTTATTTTATTTTATTTTATTTTATTTTTGGTTTTTCGAGACAGGGTTTCTCTGTGTAGCCTTGCGCCTTTCCTGGAACTCGCTTTGGAGACCAGGCTGGCCTCGAACTCACAGAGATCCACCAAGTGCTGGGATTAAAGGCGTGCCGCCGCCGCCGCCGCCGCCGCCGCCACCACCACCACCACCGCCCAGCTCTAAATGTAAATATTTAAACACCGTTAATCTGATAATGGTGGCAAAAGGAAAAGCCTAGGAAAGAGAAGAAATATTAGTGCCTAACCCCCTAGGGAAACCCTGAAACCTGAGGGTGTTCTGTCCCCTGGGATGGGAGCCTCAGTTTATTTATTTAGATTCCAAGGGGACACGGTTCTCAGGCTAGAGAAGGAGGCAACCTTGGTTGTGCACAGTTCATCTTTTTCCAGGCCGCCTGTGGCGTGAGAGCCAGAGGGCGTCAACAAGGGCTCAAACCAGCCGTCTAGGATGGAGAGGACCTCTGGCTTTCACGCAATGGCTTTCACTGCCCCGTCCCCTTCCCACCCTCTTCCCATGCTCTAGCGTAGGTGATGCTGAGTGTGAAGGTTGCTGACGACCCATGACTTTCAAAACCACGCTCCTAAGACTGGCTGTCCCAGGAAGCCTTTCTTCCGTTCTAGCTTACGTGTGTGTGTGTGTGTGTGTGTGTGTGTGTGTGTGTGTGTGTGTGTGTGTGACCTCTCCTCGGTCACCGTAGCCTGCGTGGTGCTTGGATAAACAAGCTTCAAGCCCGTGGATTCTTCTTTCTATCCCACGCTTAGGAGTTACTTTAAGAATGGTGTGGGCTGGGGATAATATACAATATAAAGAGTTTGCCTCGCATGTGTGCGAGGCTCTGAGTGAATCCCCAGTCCCTCCAAAATTGTGTAAGGGTTAGACAATCACCAGCCTCGGTTTTGCCAAGGCCCAGCAAGCTGAGGCGAAGAGTGGGAAAGGGACCTGAACTGAGGCGAGCTTCCAGTTCTGAGGAGACCCAGGAGGAACAGACCATGAGTAACAAACACACTGACTGAGGGAAGACAAGAGTGAAGAGTGAAGACTGGGATCCTGGGAGGGTCATCCACTCAAATAGTCTTCTGGGATGAGAGCGGGGACCGAGAACGAAGAAAGTCTCTGGACAAATTCCAGAATGGCCCAGAAACACGAAGGAGTCGCCTGCCAGCTTGCTGCGCATAACAGTAGAGAGGTTGGCAGCAGGAAGTCAGGACATGGAGGGGGGCCAGGGGGGCTCGGGGATCAGGACCCTGAGGAATCAGTAGCTAAGGCCCCCACCAACAGCCACGTGGACCACCAGAGAACAAGCTGGCCGACAGAGGAAGCAGGATGGGAAGAATGGAAAGATGACAGAATTTTCTAGGAAGTTTGAGCTTGGTATCCCTGCTTGCTGTTGTACGGCCTGTGTGATCTAGACAAACCACTTAACCCCCCAGCATGCCCTTTCTCCCTGGGTAAAAGCTTGATAATCTTGGAAGGATGCTGTTTGTCTCTCAGGACCTTTGAGAGGGCTAAGAAACACTGAGGTGTCAACACCCCGGTTAGGTCAGTCAGAGGGAAGTCCGTGGGAAAGAGCCCGTTATCAGTTAGGGTGGGAGGGACGTTGGCGGTATTCGGAGAAGCGGCTGGTAATTGCCTCCACTAAAGCCTTTGAAATGCCAGGCTTTTTAGATAATGCGGGGCATTCTGGGAGAGTGTCTAGCACTGCTTTGCTGTGCGTCTGCAGAGACGGCTCTTGACCTCTGCAATCACCTTGACAGCCTGATCCGGGGATGCTGGAATCTGCAGACCGTGGTGCCAGACGCACGGGGAGGGAATTGTTAGACATAGTTGGAATGTCTGGGCTATTTATAGCGCCCTGTTTATTATTGTGTACATTCTTATAAAGCCCAAAGCCATGAGTTCTGTTTTTCAGAGGGGAAAAGAGCAAAATAAATATTCTCGAAAGTTCAAGAAAAATGACCGGACTGTACTGGAAGCCTGTGAAAGGGGCTTTTTTTTTTTTTATAAGCTTCAAAGGGAAGTCAGAAGGTGTTCTCAGAGGGGAATAAAGAGCCTATAACCTGTACACTGGCTCCTCTGTGCCCTGAGAAAATGAGGCGCTTCAGAAGCCCCCAGAAGTCGAGAGAGAAAGGTGTCGTGATCCCCTCACAAGTAATGTGCATTTCAGCTGCCACACGGGAAGACTCCCGTCACTCTGCACCCCAAAGTCCAATCAAGGTTGTGTTGAGGTGACCTGATGCAGTATGTACGTACATGCAGCCTGGCCAGAGGAGGGTACGGGACGCTTTACGCTTACTCCACAGTGCATTTTCACCAGAAAATTCGGTGTTCTTCATAACTGGAAAAGCAAGACCGGTGTTCGTTCAGGCTCCCGTCCCTTACCAGTTCAGCTCCCAGTAAGAGGTTTCAAGGACGTGTCCCACGTGGCTGCTGCAGCCTGGCCATGCCAGCACCTCGGGTTACAGCTAAATACTGCAGACACACAAACCACAGACAGACTATGTGTGTGAAATGAAGTTGGCAAGCCTCCTTCTCCAAGCTACCAACTTTCGGACTTGATATGTACTGTTCAACCAATTAATAATGGCGGAATCTGAGAAATCTCACCCAGTGGGCTTCCTGGAGGTGGTGGCAATCGTCCTGGTGTCATGGTCAAACCCCAAGTGGTTCTACGTTCCTGTCTTAGCACGGAGCCTGCCTGGGTCGGCTGGAGGGGTACCCCCAAGGAATCTCCACATCCTAGGCGGGAGCTTACTTCTCCCCATTTTTTCTCTCTCACTCACCTCCCAGATGTGTTCTACTTCTTCCTTAGACTACAGAGAGACAGTGTCCCTGACTGTCCACGATGGCTGTCACCTGTCACATTCTCCATTCCATATGTGCACTAGGGATTTGATATTCAATATTTACTCCCACTTCAGAATTTTGACTTTATTCGTGTGACACCCACCTCATAGGGCTGTGTGAGAATTAAATAATCATGGAGATCCCTTAGCGTAGCACTTATACACGGGAAGCTCCCCGATGGTGGCAGTCGTTTTCAGTGAATCTCCAGTCTTTGGATGTCTCCAGGTAAGATGGGTACAGCCTCATTCCTAATTTCAGACAAGACTGTATGTTAGGAATAAAACTAGGGCTGGAGAGATGGCTCAGCAGTTAAGAGGGGACCTGGGTTCAGTTCCCAGCACCCACACAGCAGCTCACCACTCTCTGTAAATCCAGTTCCGTAGGATCTAGTGCCTTCTCCTGGCCTCTGCAGGCACTAGGTCCACAGATACACATGCAGTCAGAGCAGCTACACACGTAATTTTTTTTGTTATTTAAAAAAATTTAAGATTTGGTTGCTTACATTTACAGAACTTCCCTGAGACCGAGCACAACTGTTTCTATGTGAAAAATGAAAAGCACCTTCTGTCTAGTGTTTTTATTCGTTTGTGGGTGCATCTGAGGAAACGCTACTGCTCCGGAAACTTGTGTGGTTTCTGAGGTGTATTAACCACTCCCTCCATTTCATTTGTAAGCGTGGTGTGTAGAGCAAAGCTCAGCAGGAAGACGAGGCTCCAGCTGTGTGTGCTGCCTCGACAACTGTTTGAACTGAAATGTAGTTCAACACACAGCGAACTGATGGAAGTCCTCTCTATAACGGTCCCCCAGACAAATCTTCCACGGCTTCTGGTAAACTAGAGCCGACCAGCAGCCTGCCCCGCAGCCTGCCCGCGTCCCGTCGCAGCTGGGGATGGTGTCGCCAGGCCACCGCTTTCTTGCCTCGGCCTGATAATATTTTTATTTATCCCTTCGCAATTTAGATGGGACTGTTTCTGCCAACTGAGCTTTTTCTTCAGGTTGTGGTTCATCAATTTGAGACACACCCGAATAACCGAATTGTTACAAGCACTTAGCTAATTGATGAGACTCTGGAGCTTGCCTTGGTAAGGAGGTTTGTGCTGTGAGTCAGTGTCTGATCTGATAACCAAGGTCAGCTTTGCCCCAGCCGCCCCCTCAATACGTCTCTATTGGTCCAGCTTGATACCCTTGTGCAAGAAGCGTGTGCCCTGGGGATGCTCGCTGATTACTTGCTCTAGATCACTGCAGATAGAACCCGGGGCACACGTGGCCTGTGGGAAGGAAGCATCCTCTTGTTTGCTTGTTTACCTGAGCTGCTGGACCAGTGCCAGGCCCTGCCAGCGCTCCTGAAGCCAGCCGCCTGGAGGGACAGACCCACTGATGTTACGGTGTTGGCTTCTTTTGGTCTGTATTATGGCTAAATCCCTGAGGAGACTTCTTGTTCGCCCCACCCCCGTGCTTTTATTTGGCATTTTAGTTATTATAATATTCAGGTATTATATGTACCTGAAACTGTTCAAAAGCCCCCAACAGAGAGATCTGTTTCTTAAAGAATTTTTCTTGAGTCCTCAGGTCCAATCAGACTTCTTCACTGGTTGATTCTTGGTAACTCTCTGTTGTCCTTTAGCTAATGCATCAGACACTCTTGGAAAGTGGGGGCGGGGTCAATTGCGCTTATTTGCTTAGTATTCAAGACTTAACTCCTGAGGTGAAACATGGAGCTAACATCATCTCACGGGCATGGCCACCCAGAATAGCAAAGACTACCCCATCCTGGGGCTCCGCTGCACTGTGGGCTTGAAGTTAAGACAGATTCCAGGTTGCAGGTTGTTTGTGTCTGTGCTGTAGAGGAGGACTGAATTGGTGTCAATGAGAAAACTCAAGGTATTGACACTTAATGGCTTCCTCTGAGTCAAGTGCCGCCCAGCTCTTGCTCTGGGCACTGCCTGGTTCCAGAACTGGGTTGCTTTGCCAGAGCAATTGCAAGAATGTACCCCAAGCTGGGGATTTAAATAAGAGCCGCTGGTGGTCTCTCGGGTCTGGAGACCACGAGTTCCAAGCCGAGGTGTAGGTAGTGTTGTTTTCCTGTGAGCTCTGGGAGAAAGCGTTTGCTCAGGGCCTCTCACCTCACTTCTGGGGGCTTCCTGGTGGTCTTTGGCATCGCCTGGCTTGTGGCAGCATCACCAAGACCACTGTTGTACCTTCACATGGCATTCCTCTGGCATTTGTCTATCTCCAGTCCTGTTGCAGGCGTCGGCAGTCAGTCCTCCTGGATTAGGGTCCAGCCTACTCCCATACTACCCGGTCCTTATGGAATTATTTCTACAGTGGCCCTAACTCCAGATAAGCTTTGCTTTATAAAGCAGAGGGGTGGGTGTCAACACGTGAGATTTATGTGTGACACAATTTAATCCAGTGTCTTTACCATTGATAACATTTTTCATTTAATGTAACGCTAATTTCCATTGTTACATTATTATACTTTCTTAAACTGTGGAAGATTATGGTCCCAAATGTCTTGGAAAATAAACAGCTATAGATGTAATAAATTAAAATTAAAAACTTAAAACAAGAAAAAGGTCGGGTGGTGGTGGTGGTGGTGGCGGCGGCGGCGGC